AAGTCAGAATTCTGACTTTTTTCCCATATTAAACTGAAATAATATTTAAAAATCTGTTAACTTTTTTTTTTTTTTTTTTTTACTTCTTCAGTGGCCCTAATTCTCTTCCGTAAATACGGGACAAAGTGTATTTCTTTTCCACTAAATACGGAACAATTCAGTTTTTCAAAGTTGGCAACCCTAATCTGGGCTTAGCGTCCTTAGCATTAGCCGTTCTGTGTGCTGTAGTTTTTCTACTTAAAGATTGGAACACGTATAAGTTTAACTTTGCCATTCTTAACACTAATCCATAATTTTTACTGTCTTGTTTTGCACATTTTCAACAGCATCTTAAAAAATCCTGTTGTTTAACCTTTAGTTCATGGAAGTTACTGAAGAATCGAGTTTTCTTTGAACATATCAGTCATGTTTAATAAAAAAAGAACAGCGCAACCTTCAAAATGAATGTACGGGACATTTAAGGGAAATTACCTGCAACTGTGGTTCCCTAGAAATCCAATGTCAAAATATGCATCATTGTGATGATTTAAAGTTTACAGTCAAGGACTTTTATGTTTGTTATAAAGCGTGACATTTACGCTCACTGTGCAAAAGAATTACTATGAGTGAATTTTGTTTCAGAATTTTAAAGTTTATATCTTTTAATTGGAAATTGGAAAATAAAAGGATATCAGAAAACAAAAAGGTTTTGAGAGTAACTTTTTTTTCTTTTTTTTTTTTCATAATTTTTTCCAGACTTTTTTTTTTATTCTACAGATTTTTTGGTTTCAAATCTTTCTCAGGTTGTTTTAAAGATAGCATTCTTTTCAGATTGTGTTTTATAGATCACATTCCCTTCACTTTTAACCCATTTTAATTTCTCACTCTTGACCAATAAAAATGTTGTAGCTAACTTCCAGCCAACCAATAAAAATGTGACTTTGCTCCTCCATGCAGAAGAAAGTCCTGCCTCATATATGAACAGAATGGGATTTTATATCACATTTTTAAAAGAATGTAGTTCGTAAATCTCAACATGCAAAAGAAAAATGAAAAATAAATGAAATTTTACCAAAAATATTTTGGACTAACAATATACATAAAAAAAAGATCAAAAAATAAAAGAATAAATAACGAAAACAGATCAAATCTGAGAACATTTACCCTCAAAAATTTTTTTTATTTATTTTTTTTTATCAAGAAGGAGTTTGTTTTTCTTCTGGAATAGCAACAATTTTCTTATTTTGAATTTAAATTTACAAAACATATAATTTGCTTACGACAATGGAGAAAAATTTACTCCATAAATCTGTTATATAGGCACTCAGCTTTGGTTTGTGATATTACAGAAGTTCTTGGAGAAGGAACATAAAAAAAATAAAATAAAATAAATTATAATAAATCTATCTACCTATCAATCCATCCATAGTGCAAAGAAATTTCTAAAGTAGAAAGATTGAATAGTAAAAAGTTTCTGGATTTCAGGTGCTTTAATCCATTTCTGGACTAACCCCCCTGAACCACACCATGGGGAGCCAATGGTTTCCCACTGGAGCTGGTATCACAAGAAACTAACCAGTTGGAGCTGATCTGAAACTGGAATCATATCTAAAGGAGGGGTTACCGTGAGTGTCAGTTAGTAAATTACTGTTAAAAGGATTACTGTTGTAATTTTGTTGACATTTCATGGCTAATATGTGAACAATTAAAGTGTGAAATTAGGTGGCACACTGATGCTACATTCAGACCGCAAGCAGCAGAGGCAGAAGAAGCAGCTAGTTTGCAAGCAAAGTCAATGGTTGATGTGACGCACTTCATGAATTGGAAAAACGTAACTTTAGCTGCTGGATGCGCCACATCCACCAATCACATAAGCTGATCTGGGAGCTGGTAGGTAGACAGACACAGC